ATCAAACGTGCTTCGTGGTGGTACTGTGAGGACAGGGGGGTTTTAGAGTAGGGAAATTATCTACGGAAGCCAGCCGGGGCCAGGCTTAAGCAAAGAACAGTCGAAATTCAGGACTAGGTGGTACTGTTCCTTTCTTTCTTGCCCGTCATCTGCCACGCTCGAGATCTCCTGGTAAGATGTCGGGAAAAGCAAACCTGCGGACTTATTGCTACCACGACTTCAATCGAAAAGTGGTTGTGCTGCTGTTGAGCTACTCAACACCAAGCTGTGGCGTTTGTTTGGTGCATTTGAACCATAGGCTTTGTTACAGCACATAGCTGGGACCAGAAAAGTCGCGGCCAGCGCGGCATCACCAATGCCATCCTTCGTGCTCCAGGTCGTGTTCCTTTCAAGGTCAAGGAAGAAGGAACCAAAGTTCCAGTGCTGCTCGAGTGGTGCTAGTACTAGAGCTGGGCTGCTCTAGCTGCCTATTATAGTTACTAGCTCGTACGGCACGGTACCGGTACACCAAGAGAGTTGGCTACAACTAACTATAGTATACACAAACAACTTACTTCAATTGTAAGTCACTTCATACATAGCCTGGCAACACCAAGGAGGTCAGAATTCGAATTGCCCGCCGAGGCTGTTGGATTGTGCTGCTATGTATACTGCACTAGCCATCTTGGTACAGCCAAGAGTCGTCATGCCCTTTCAGTTTTTGCTCTATAATTCACTGCAAATAATGGAATGCACGCTATAGACTCTAGAGCTGCCTGCCTATCGTCCCGGTTCCTTCGCACTTCGGGCAGTAATAGGGTCTTGTCTCGTTCATTGTGATCTCGTACAGTTGTTTACCAATGCACCTCCCAAAACGCTTTACTCTAGGCAGCATGACTCCCTCTTGGACACTCAAGCCAGCTATCCTTGGCGAGGAGCTCGATATTGCTCGTGACTCCTCAGGGCGTCGAACCAGCCACGGGCACGGGCAGCAATAGCGTCTTCATCGAGTCATACCGTACGGTTCCAACGAGCTTCGAGCAGCACGACTCTTGGACTCTCAAGCCACGGCTTGAGCAGACAGCAAGCCCAGAGTCAATAAAAGAATGACCGAATCATGAAAATGCCGCATGTTCGATGAACAGAGGCAGCATTGGTAGCAAACCCAAGAGTACAGTAACAAAAGTGGATGAAACCACACGCAGCTGGGTGTCGCGACGAAGCTCAAGGTCCCCCATCCCATATGCAACCGCATCTTCTCTACTGTAGCGGTGATGACGACTGGAACAGATCCAATGCTATGATGTGCGCAATGTACCCAAAGTCACACGATCAGTGACGTCGCACTCTCAGTTAGGCAGTTGAAGCCTCGATTGCTACTGGACGATGCACAACTGCCATGATGACGTACATTGATCAAGCCAAGTGAAAAGCCAATCGACACGCATCTGCATTGAACGCAGTTACGAAAAATGATCGAGGGAGGGAAGAACAGGATATGATCCGATGAAGATGACCTCGCGTCTACACCGCTTTCAGCAGGGTTGGCCTTTTAGTTTGACGGACCGCAAGAAACAACAAAATCTTTATAACGGATATGGCTCCAATGGACGGATCTTCACTGTGTCCCAGCCGAAGCTTTGGGGAACCGCACCCGGCCGAAGCGAGGATTGGTTTCACAGGAGACCGCCACTCTCACCATCAACACATTTATTTGGTCAACGTATTCGTCCGATTTGCATCCTGCTGTGCGTTTTTGGAAGGAATGAGTGATCGCATTCAATCGAACGATTCAAGATGGTACGCACCCCTTTGGCTGGTACCGGTACCAGTACCGTGCTGATACGTGTGACTGGATACCCATCACTGTTGCGGGAAGCAGGCAAGGCGCAAAGCCATGCCAAGCCATTCCAAGAGTACGATACCCAAAGTCCACCGTCTCGCCCGCCTCGGACCGGCCGAAAAAGGTACCATGTAACTACCATTCACGAGCAAACGATCAGTGCAAGCCGCCACAGCTTGAAAGACCATCATTCCTAGCCTGGGCTGTCAGTCGGAGGATACTGTATGGAGACCAACCAACGAATGTATGTACGAACGTCTACAGAAAACTGGAGAGCTGTAGACCATACAGTGTATAACCACTCAATGCAACTATGAGGCAAGCACCTCGGATCCCATCCATGCCATGTCCAGCCTCTTAGGTCTGTCAACTAACTTAGTTTCTAAAGGCTCCTCATGCATTTCAGTGGGGCCAGTTCTAAGTCCAACCTCTAGAAAGCTATCGGGATGTATCACCGCCCAACCGAGCTATGGCCTACAGACACGTACACAAAGTTGGCCTGCCTGCAACTATACACTTGGTGGCCAGCAGCCAGAGCAACAGGATCTCTGGTGCCAAAAACACTACTGGGACAGTTCCTATAGCCGTTCCTGTACCACCGTAGCTTTGAATAATAAGGTGACGAAGTCGAGCTCGAGCGCAACGATGGTGCCAGACTGGTACCATCCCATACACCGTACTATTGTCTCGCAGCTATCTGTGAAGGAAGCATACTACGGTCCCAATGAGCTTGAAGCAATGCTACCAGCATGACTCTTGGACTCTCAAGCCACAGCAGTTATTCTTGAATGACATCGAGCTCGATATATTGGCTCCTGAGCGCATGGAACATCAGGTACGGTACCAGTACGTGGCAGCTACCCCAGCGCTTGGTTTGCTTCACGCTGACACTGTGTGCTCCCAAACTAGCTTTCAAAAGCGCGGATAGCGTTGAAAGGGATGATGTGCGTAGCCTGGCTGAGCGTGCCGTCTCTAGCTAGAGCAAGCAAACTATTAAAACCTCACAGTTTCTGCCGCAGCTACCGGTACGAAAGAGCTTTGCAAAACACGCGATGCTGCAAGTGAAGGTCCACGTCAAGTTTCCATCCATGGCGCGCCCTGGAGGCAGTGAGCACCAAGTCGAGTTACGATATCGCAGTACAAGGCGGTTGGTACAACATCCGTGGCTTCAGTTTATCAGCACCAGGGGACAGAGGCAGCAGGTCAGTGACGTACTCTCAGCCAGTTAAAGCCTCGATCGCAACGGGACGATGCACAAAATTCTATGATGGCGCACAATGATCAAACCAAGCGAATAACCAATCGCAACGCATCTGCTTTGAACGCAATTGTGAGAAGCTATTCATACCAGCGGCAGCAGGCTGCCAGCAGGTCTTCCTTTGATTTTGCTCTTTTTAAAACCAAGCCGGACATCTACACCTACGGTGAGTAGGTCATCCGGCGCCATGGCTGGTCTCAACTTGACTGGGTCACTCGAAGGTCGTGTGCTTTCTCCACTCCAATGAGTTTAATGGCTGACTGCTACTAGCTAGGAATCGTTCTCCAAAACTGGTTCTATGTATATGTAGTTTTACGATCCCTGGAGGGAAGAATGACATGATCCGATGACGATGACCTCGCAGCTACATCGCTTTGAGCAGAGTTGGCTGATGGCCTTCTATAGTACGGCTGACCACAGATAGCTCGCTATTCTTAGCAACATATTATGCTTGGTTTTAAGTATCGGGGTTACTATGGATTAGAGAGAGCCAAGATGAGGATGGGGACAGAGCTCGAGGGGAGGGCACGGCGCAGGAACGCAAGGCAGGCAATCAAGTGCGCAAGCAGGGCAACATGGAAACCAAGGAAAGGGGTGAAGGCAGGAGTGCAGGGAGGAGCAAAGGAGCAAGACTAGCGGAAGAGATCCAGGGCACCACAGTCATCCCAACGCTTGGAAACTTGGTCAACGTCATCGTCCGATTTGCCTCCTTGGCATTTCTGGAATCGAATCATTCGAATCGAATCGAATCTTCAATCGAATCAGCCAGAATTCACGCACCCTTTGGCTATGCTGTACCGTACTGTACGTGCAACTGGAGACCCATCAGCTGTTTCGGCATTGCTGGTTGCTGGAAGGTCGCAACGCCGTGCACAATCCAAGGGTAGGATACCAAAAGTCGGCTCGGCTGACAAGGTACAATTCACGAGTACAAACGATCATTGCAAGCCGCTAGCTATATACTTCGAGACAAGTACAAACGATCATTGCAAGCCGCTAGCTATATACTTCGAGACAAGCACCTCGGATCCCCGCCATGCAAAGTCCAGCCTCATACGGTACGGTAGGTCTGCCAACTATATTAGTTTAGGCTCCTCGTGCATTCTAGAGGAAGATATACAGGCTTATGCATACCGGTATAGGCCTATCACCGAGCTATGCCCTACGGTACAGACACCATACCGGTCGACAAAATTGGTCTGCCGGTTACACTTGGTGCATTGGCAAGCAGCCAGAGCGAAAGGAGCTCAACTCGAGAGCAATTGTGCTCAAAAACTACTGGGGACAGATCCTGTAGCTTGAATACACATACCAGTAGCTGATGAAGTTGCGCACAAGTTTACAGTAGTCTAGCCAGTCAACGATTTTATCTCGTGTGAGGGAAGTACTCCTTTAGTCTACAACAGGTGCCGACTGGTGAGGTTTTACCGTAACCAGTGGCTTCGATTGCCTTCTTCCAGACATTCTCTCGTAAACTCAGCTAAACTACATCCGAGTACTCTAGAGTATTCAGTACTCCTCACCATTACTCACCAAGAGGATAAATAACAGCAGCATTTTGTTGGTTCTTTTCTCGATGGCTATTTTGTTTATGTTTATGCCCTTGAGTGCACTGGAGAAATAAAGGCGGCATGTCGTGTGGCATTCGTGCCAATCCAATGGTAAAACTGACGACCGGTAGCAAGCAAAACTAACAACAATATCTTATTGGAAGGTCTTCGGGAGACCGCAACGGTGTCGCATTGTCAACGGGACCAGTTAACGAAACCAGCCGAAGAGCTTCTGATGCCGAGAAATCCAGTATTATGCATAGAGCCAGACTCCACACGGGCCCAAGCAAGGGCAATGAGAAACTCTCACAATCTCCGGCAAAGAAGAACAAGTCAACACAGAAACAAACCAAACAATCAATCAACGACCATGAAGTTCTCTTCCACCATCCTAGAAGCCCTCAACCACCATGCTGTGGAGACTCCTAACAAGGTTGGTTTCACCTGGGTCGACATCAATTGTGTGGAACAAAACAAGATGACATTCAAACAGTTGCACGACCAATCCAATGCTATTGCTGCTCATCTCCTCAAGCTGGGATGCAAGAAGGGCGATCGAGTCATGATCGCCTATCCCTTTGGCCTCGAGTTCTTGGCTGCCATGTTCGGTGCCATGAAGATTGGAGTCATCCCCTGTTCCATCTATCCACCCAACCCCAACCAGCTCAAGACAGAAATGCCCAAGTTCCGTGGATTTGCAGAGGATGCCGGGGCCAAGTATGCCCTATCCACCACTGCCTTTGCCACTGCCATGACAGCAGTTGGTGTCCTCTACAAGACTGGTGTTACCTGGATTGGGACCGACAAATTGCCAATCAAGAAGAGCAACCCCAAGAAGCCAAAAGATTATGAGAAGTATGTGGGGGAACCAACAGATATTGGCTTCATCCAGTACACATCCGGTAGTACTGGTCGCCCCAAAGGAGTCATGATCAGTCACCAAAATCTTGCTGAAAATTGTGCGGCTCTCGTCAAAATGACAAATGCAACTCCGTCCTCTGTCGCAGCCTTGTGGGTCCCACAATACCATGGTAAGTTGAAGACACAAGGAGCGTATCATCATGCATTCAAGTCTCATAGTATGCCTCTATATTCCAGACATGGGACTTGTAGCAGGGTGCATGTCTTGTCTCTATGGTGGCTTTCACCTTGTCCTGGCATCACCTCTCGACTTTGTTATGCGACCTCTTCTGTGGACAGACATGATTGAGCACTACCAGGCAACACATACCTGTGCCCCCAACTTCGCCTATGCCTTGCTCCTCAAACGTTTGGAGCAGGCCAACCGGACTGCCAACTGGAGTTGCGTGAAGCGTGCCATGTTTGGGGGTGAACCAGCCAAGAGCCATGTTGTGGAAGCAGTGGCAAAGACCCTCTCCATCAAGCCTGCACATGTGTACAACATCTATGGACTTGCTGAGTCTGTGGTGTTTCTTACTGGTGGCTCTGCGTACCCTGACTCAGAGGGGCTTGTCTGCTGTGGAGAAGTAGATTCCCCGACCCTCAAGCTTAGAATTGTACAGGAAGGCAAAGAGGTTGAGGATGGACAGGTTGGGAGTATCTGGGCCCAGTCACCCCGTGTGGCTGCTGGATACTATGGACAACCTAAGCTTACAACCTCCACCTTTGCAAACATCTTACCAGGTTATGATGGAAGCTGGCTTGATACTGGTGACTTGGGCAAAGTTACGGACAGTCAGCTCTATGTCACTGGCAGGGTCAAAGATGTCATCATTATCAATGGCAAGAACTACTATCCAACTGATGTGGAGCTCTCTATTGATGATCTCTTTGGAGATATTATCCGTCCAGGCAGGACCACTGCCTTCCAGAATGGAGATACAAGTGTTGGCATTACTGTGGAGGGCCGCAAAGGATTTGACAAGTCAGAAAATGAGGATTTGGCTGTTCAAATAGCCAACCATGTTTCACAATTCCATGGGCTGTTTGCTTCTGAGGTTGTTGTCCTCAAGCTTGGTGTGACACCCAAGACCACCTCTGGCAAGCTGAAGAGGAGTGAAATCAGGCAGACAACAGTTGATGGTGATTGGAAGGAGGCTTCCATACTACTTCAATTCAAGAGGCAGGTAGCTCTTACTCCTATTCCTATTCGGAAGCGTCAACGTCCATCTTTCCTTGAGGGGAGTTTTTCAATGCTTGGCATTGCTAGCAATGAGTCTTACCTGAACGAAGAAACGGAACATGAAATCATGGTCCAATCTATGAGCACTGTTAACTGGAACTTTGAGGAGCTTGCTGGCATTGGCCTCAACCAAACAAATGACCTTCCAAGGAAAGCTGTCGAAGCTGTTCATTCTGTGGAGTGCATCCCCAGCAAGTTGGATGAGTATTTCTCAGAGCTTCATCTTTCTGGAGTCTCTGGCATTGAAGAAGCTTGGGACAAAGCCATCAAGACAACAGCTGCAATGCAAGTCATGTGCTCCCAAATCCTGAAGCATCTTGAGGACAAGCACCCAACCATCTGCCAGCTTGCCAAGACTCTCAGTGAAAATCTGGACTGGATCTTAATTGACGACATGACCTGTTTCCTTTCTCAACTTGTGCATCAAATCTTTGTCCTTCAATGGGTGACAACCTTCATGATGGATCATCCTGAGTGCATTCAACAGAAGCTGAAAGACGATGCCGCATGGGATGCTCATGGCCAGAACGTTCAGACAGTTCCGGTGGAGCTACAAGAGATGCTGAACCTTCCAGAACAAGATGCTATGTACGGGAAAGTGCCCTTCTTTACTTGGATCAAGAACAGGTCTGTTGTTGAACTACTGAACCTTGTCCTACAAAGTTTGGAATCAGCAGGCTCAACCAGTACTGCACAGGTCGAAAGAATCAATAGCCTCCTGTGTTTAAACGTGTTAGAGGCTATTTGGCTTGAGCAAAAAAATGGACACAAGGAAAATTCAGAAGCCGGTAGGAGACTTGCAACAATGCTAACTAATGCAAAGGCAGCCACAACCAAATCCAGGAAGGTTTTGATGGAGTATTCATCCAATACAAGTGCTGTGAATGATCTGTACATTGATTGGAATATGCATGTTGTGGCCTGTAAGTTTTTCTCTCAACATTCCAACTTGAGAAGTTATGGTAGAATCTCACTGTTGTGCTATCTTTTCGATTCTTATCTTCAGGGGCCGGAGACAGAAATTCTTCCAGCTGGATGTTGTCCAAATTGTTGCTACCTTGTGTCATTGGAGATGTCAATGCACATTTCTTCTATGCAAGGTTGATTAGTCTGCACCTAGTTACACAGGCCATGGGAAGGAATCTGATGTCGAACAAGTTTCAGAATGAACCAATCTTGTCAAGAAGAGCACTACATTATTTTGGAAAGCTGAACCTTTCCTCTGCAGAAAAACTTGGACACACCCCACTGGCAACAGAGAGCAAACACCAGCTTGCTCTTGATGAAGATTACTGGCTGTCCAAGTTTGACCAGTGGGGGTTGGTAAGTCATACACCACCTAAGGCAAGCACTCCAGACTCCAGGCTGCAGTATAATGCAGTTTCAGGAGCTGTGGGCCCAGATGACTTCTCCACCAGATATGCCAACACCATCACAGCTGTCTTTGGTTACAAAGTTGCCGCATCAAAATCATGGGCTGAAAATGGGCTCACATCTTTCAATAGTGCTGAGCTGAGGAACAGAGTGGAAGAGGATCTGCACGTGGTGCTCCCACCAAACTTTGCACAACTTTATGCAACTCCAAAAGAGCTTGAAGAGTTTCTTGTCTCATCACAAGGCCAACACTTTCCATGTAAAGCAGCTGATGAGCATGTTGACTTTCACTGGAACAATCCCAGAGCACAGTGCAGCAAACTTGAGATGAGTATTGTTCAAGTTCTGGGTTTCATGGCTATCACACTGGTGCTGTTGACTGCCTTATTCCCATCCTATCTTGTTGCAGCAAGACTGTCAAACAAATGCAATACTTCTGAAGCCCAAGAGTGCTTGAAGACCAGCTTCTTGTGGTTTCCACACATATTCCCACTATTTTGCTTTTCTTTTTCCATCATGGTGGTTCTTTGCAAGATTCTTGTTGTTGGCATGTACCGTCCCCAGGAAATCAACTTGATGTCCTGGCAATACTTAAGGTGGTGGTTTGTAGATCAATTGCTGCATGTCTGGGAACTTTTTGTTGGTAGATTCTTGTTGGAAACAAAGTTTGCCTGGCTCTTCTACCGGCTGCTTGGTGCTGACATTGCCTGGTCGACAAAAATTAATGCATTCATGCGAGAGTGTGATCTTGTCAGTGTTGGGGCCAATTCATCAGTTGGTCATGCTATCCGATGCAGAAAATTCAGGCCATGGACAGAGGGCAGTCCCAGGATGGTATTCCGTCCAATCATTGTTGGGCCAAACTGCAACGTGTCTGGAATGCTAAGCCCTGGAGCTGTTATTGGAGCTGGATGCAAAGTAGAAAGATTGACTGTGGTGGAAGAAGGTGCTCAAGTCCCTCCTGAAGTGATTGCACGCGGCAACCCTGCATACAATGCAGGTACATTCAGGCATCAAGAGTCAAACTGGCAGGAAGAGTCGCTGCTTGATGCCTTCAAAGTTCTCTGGCTGTTTTCAGAAGTCTACCATTATTATGCACTATACTTCCTTGCACATGCAATCCTACAAGAAACCTTGCCGACCTGGCGATATGCTAGTATTCTGCACTGGTTCCTGCTCTTTCCTCTGGCTTCGGTGTTTGCTATGGTGACGAGCATCCTCTTGAAATGGCTCTTGATTGGAAAACGAGATCCATCAGAGGAGTATGAGCGTACATTGTGGATGAGAGCTACCAACTGGGTCTGTGACTACCATTTTCAAATTGCGGCTTGGATGCTTGCAAACTACGCCGAAGTTTCCAGATTTGATACATTGGTTCAATGGTGTCATGGTCTAGATGTTGATGTTGTGTCAGATCTGTATACTGCCAACATAATCTTTTCTCCTTCGCAGGTCGACTTTGTGAAGATACGCCAATCTTTCCTTTCTCTCACCGAGTTTGACCTGGATATTCCCTCACCCTCCGGGGAGAAGATTGAGATCTCATACAGCTCCCTTGGAAGAGACACAATTGTTTATGCTGGTGCTAAGGTCATCCGATCAAACCTTCCATCTAGAAGTCAGGTCTCTGACAAGATCTATGATTTGAACGCTCCAAACACCCAACTAATTGTGTCTTGGAGCTTCATCCTCCTTGAAGTGATTCTTCCTGAAGTTGCCGTCTTGATTTGGATTGCCATTCTTTTTTGGAGCTTTATCCCTGCATATGAGTTGACTTCAGCAATTTCAGGAAGCATCACTTCACCAAGTGTGCTTGTTCTGGTTCTTGTTGGAGCTATTGCCTTTCACTTTTTTGTTTGGATCCTCCTTGCCAAGACATTTGAGTGGGCCTTGCTGAATGTTATTCCACCCTCTTTCTATGGCTGTACCTTCCGGGTCTATGCTTCTTGCATTATTACATGTCGATGGGCCAACCCGATCGACTTCCTTCTTATGGGAACCCCCTTGTTCCAGTTTTACGCTCGAATCATGGGGGCTGAAGTCAATGGTGATCTTTGGTTTTTTGATCATAGTCCTACTGAGTTTGGTAATTGCCACTTCCAGGGCAACACGATCGTGGACAGTGCCTACCCACGTGGCCACTATCGTGATATCAATGGACTCACTCTAGACGACGTTTACATTTCTGGAATTGTGCATCCTGGATGCTACATTGCAGCTGGAGCTCTTGTGGAAGGCAGGGAAAGTGGTCCATGGAAATCGTTCTTTTCCTCAGCAGTTGAGAATGTTTCTTCTGGAAAAAAGAACGCATCAAGGCAGGGTCTCCAAGGTGATCAAATGAAAAGAGGAAGTCTCCAAGATTGGGAGGATGAATTCCAGTGTACTCATGAATTTGATGTGTAGCGGATAATTAAAAATGTAATGGTTTGCAAAAGCCGTTTTCCTGTGCAGTTGCGGAAATTTCAAGATACGTACAATGTAACCAGCCTAGATGACAAGTACGAGTATGCAGACTTAAGCACGGCTGTTAAGTTACCAGTACATATTTCTGTGGGGGTCCTCTGTACGCTGTCGGACCATCCATGCCAACAAAGATCCTGTATCCGCAGAAGACAAGAGGAATGATGCAGTTCTGGACAACCATCCAATGTCTAGCCAACCCTCGCTTTGATCAGTTTTTTGTCTCTTTTCTAATCTCACGACCCTGTCATGTACTCTGGGGATTTTGACAAAACCATCAGCACCTGCAATCACTTACGAGTCAAGCAAGCCAAACCCAACGAGATAGCCTGGAAAGCATGGAGACGGGTACTGGGTTACTTCTGTTACACGTCGTCCAGGAAGAAGAAATATCTTAAAACCGAGCATCACCTTACCCCTGGCTACTCCCCGCGACGAAACTCCGCCGAAGATGGCCTGCCTTGTACGACCCGGGCTCCAACACCCCAGATCATATATACTGTCACACTCCCGAGGGATGGACTCTGCACAAAAGCATCCGGTACGACTTCGACCAAACGCCATCTGAAATCGTCGATACCCCACCTGAAAACTGAAGTGAGACCGTATACATTTCACTGCCGCAACGGGGACAGTGGTGATCATACTTGGGGATAGTGGTGATCATACTTGGGGTCATCTCGATGTATTCGTTTTCCAACTGGCAACAATTGAAAGAGAAACTTCACAATTGTCGGTTTGTGGATTTCATGACGGTTGACAGCACGACCATGGGCTGTCTAATCAACCAGTGCCGGTGTGTCTTCGTCCCAATCTGGATTAAGTTTGACAATGTGGTTGAACAATGGCTGGTCGTTCCTCAGGTGCCGCAGTGTTCAGGGTAGTTTGTATGTGGATGTTCCTTTGGGAAGGTGCAGCTGGGCCAAGTTGGCCGGAAATCGGAGTACCTTGGAGTGGTCCTGTTTCATGTGTCGGGTCATGTAGCTGCCTGCCAGTTTGTCAGCTCTACAGTTCAGTTGTGCCTTCAAAGGTAGCGTGTTGATGGCCTTGTGCTTGTCCTGGTGGGATTTGATGTGTTCCATCTTGGGCACTGTGACAGCAGCCCGAAACGAATCCTCGATCTGCTGCAAGACATCCCAGTCGGAGTCTAAGGAATCATTGGGGTACCAGTGACTGTGGGCTCTACCAAGAGTGCCTACAAGACTGCCGCTAGAGGCAATCGCCTCGTTCGACACAACACAATTAGACAAGCCACAGTTGATGCCAAACTACAACACGACGAAACCCATGGCAAAACGCCAGCGGTGTACCAAGCCTGTCTCGACGCTGCCTGGAACAATGCCGCGGAACCCGACTTTGATGATTCCGACATCCAGATGATGGGATATGAGAATGTAGTACCGCAACCGCAGCCAGAAACACACACATCAGTCACAACACTCAATCCTACCTTGGAATCGTGGGAATGGCATCTAAGTTGGCACTGCATTCTCTGGTCCCAGAAACTGAGATTTGGACAGCTTTTGCCACGAAAGCTTGCATTCTGGTCTGTGATGGGTCAGCCCCAGATGGCAAGGGATCTTTTCGGTGGATCCTCAGCGACCCTCAAGGTATCCGCTTGGCTCAGTTCAACGGTCCGGCATTTGGTTCCAAACTGAACTCGTACCGGGCCGAAGGATACGGGATGTTGTCGGGCTTTCGATTCCTCCACCACATGACCACAATTCACTTCACAGACAACCCAATCCACAGACATGGTTGCTTCTGTGGTAACAAATCAATGGTTGAGGTCACAGTGAAATACTCCAAATTCAACAGGTTCTTTCCAAACAGTACCTTATCCGCTGAACTCGTGGATATTATTGCCAAATTTGACAGACCCTCCAACAAATCCAACCGGCCACTTCCATCCCTAAAATCAAACACATCTAGGGATATCAGGACGATGAGAAACCCTACGATGAATTAACACTGGCAGCCCAACTCAACGTCGACGCCGACGGCCCAGCCAACCAATGGTTGGTGGACAACCCAAACTTCGACCACACACAAGTCCTAATTCTTCCCACGAGTGGCTGTCAGCTGAATCTTCCAGGTGGAACCATCACACACAATCTGAAACACAGACTCAAACTGACAGGATCGGTGCCACAACACAAATTGTTTCTCATGAACAAACAAGAGTGGGACGACGACACCTTTGACGATATCGACTGGAAATGCCATGGGAGGGTGCCCATTCAATCACTTAGATCACCATCACACCTCCCTCACCAAGTACCTTTGCAATTGGCAACCCGTCGGTAAACGTGTCAATAAATACCACCCCAAATATCCCATTGCATGTGCGTCCTGTGGAGCCCCAGAAGAAAATAGAGAACACGTCCTGAGATGCCCCAAACGACAATCGGAACGAATGGCATCCATGGAAGAAGGCACTTAAGAAATACACCGACAAGCACAACACTCACCCGATGCTCCAAACACTACTTCTCTCATCACTCCAGAAGGTACTCCATGGACACGACACCACAGGAATTGAGTATGATGAACATGTTGCTGACATCGCAAACGCCCAAGCAGCTATCGATTGGGATCAGCTCCTCAAGGGCAGACTTTCCAAACAATGGGCACAATGCCAGGACCAACATCTCAATGAATGCAACCTCAAGACACACCAGAAGAATGGACAAACATCGCTGACATGACTCATCCAAGAATTACTCACTCAGTGGTTCGACCTTTGGGAGGCCAGGAAACTTGACAGTCTGGAACCAAAAGGATGTTCCCAACTGGGTGGAAAAGGTTACCAGAACGCTGTGGTGCCAAATGGCATTGGAGAGTACTGCTTTTCCACAGAAAAAGATTCAAACAGACCTCACAAAACAGAATTCTCGTCACATCACTCTTTCAAAAAGCACTGGAACGCACAGCCAGAGCTGACTCCTCTGCTACAGTACCGGCAGCCACTACATCAACAACAACAGCAACACAATGGTGGAGGAGCGGCCGATCGCTACTACTATTACGACCAAGGAGGTAAGTCTATTATCAAGTGTACTATTGAAGGCTCAGCACTGACTTCTCTCCCTCTATGAATTACAGGGCAAGAGCTCTAGATTCGCAGTAGCAGCGCTAAGGCAGCTTGCTGGCTTATTGCCTGGAAAGATGGATATCCACCCATCTTCGTCCATAGTTGAGAATAATGAAATAGTAAAGTACCTGAGACCCGATAGCATATCAGTAGTCTCGCAGTTGACCAGTTCCTGTGTGGCCCATGCCAGGGTAAACAGCAGCGATTCAACCATTCCAACAGTAGTGGTTGAATAGCATTGGCAGCCAGCTCCTCAGAGCTGGCCTTGACAACCCAGTGAAGGGAGAATCTCACCAACCAGAGATCTCCCAACCTGGCGCTGGCCAAGTCCTTGACTGAGAGCCATCCTCCTGCTGAGGAAGGCCAGTTGGGGCTCCCTTACTGCCTAACTACCAGCTGAGATCTGAGGAAGAGATCTAGAGAGGTTATTCCACGAAGAAAGACCTCCCAAAATCTCATCGTCCCTCATTTAATTTCTATGGTAAACAGGAGAGAATTCCAAGCTCGGCCATCAACAGGTAGTTGTTTTACTTATTCGAATCGAATCGTCGCATGTCTATTAACTCTACTATCAAGCCTCACTCAAGCCGGCTGGCTCTGGTGTAAATTCGAAAGCCATCCCTCATTGAATCCTATAGACCATGGTATGACAGTCAGTTCTCAGCCACGGACGGCCAAGTTGGAGAACAAGGGTAAGTCGCCGGTTTTCTTCAGTATCAGAATAGAAAAGAACCATATCTATTTCTTACTTTCACTTCTCTAACTGCTGATTACCGAGGAAATAAAAATTGTCGAGTCGAGTTCTTTCGATCGCTCCGGATATCAAGAGAGGAAGAGGCTACCGCTGTGGAGATGGAGGCTCTGTTAACTCCAGCCGTACCAACAGCATGAATGGAGGAGATCGTCGTCGAGTCATTGAATGGCAACAGTCGTCAACCGGAGGAGGCTACACGACAACGCACAAGTAGCTACAGAGAGTGGATCCTCCGATTGGATTCATCTCTCTTTGTTATTTCCTAGTGTTTTGGTGGTGATTCCTGTGTTGGTACCCATTTTCCTGTATGCACAAGTCAACGACTTGGTGGATTTGGCCAAGTCCTCGGGCGACTTGGTGGGGTAAGTCCTCGACTTAGTGATTTTTGCATAAGTGGTCGAGGACATGGTGATTGACTTGGAGCATGTATTAGATGACTAGATAGAGTAACAGATTAGATAGAAAGGTTAGGAATTGGCAACCCAAGAAACCATTAGGAACCTAGCTTTTAGACCTAGACCTTGCTTCCCAATCTGGAACTGAGAGAGGTTCCCAATCCACAACCACATGTAGGTTGCCAACATGGACCTTGCCTTGCCTAATTGGAACCTAGCAATTGGTTGGGAAGATGTGGTTGGGATGTGCTTCCCAAACTAGACCAGAGGTTCCCAATTCAGGAACTCCCTACAATTGCGCTTCTTAGATGACATGGCTGGGAACCAGTCCTTGAACAGAGTTACGCCACACAGCTTGAGACTGGGTAAATGACGCAGGACTTCCACCTCCCACCTTCCCAATTTCCTCCAGTGTCCGCTTCCGCCCCCCTCCTACTTCCTATTTCTTCCAGGACACTCAGTAACTCTTGCTGAATCCATTTGGCCAAATCCACAAATCCGTTAGGAATATATGTCCAGCAAATCCACGTGAGATATCCCATTATACTCTTACATGTAACTTTAAATGCACTGCGGTGCTGGTGAGGACACCAGTGGTGGTCTCCTGTGAAACCAATCCCCGCTTCGACCGGGAGCTTCAGCTGCAGCACAGTGATGATCCATCCATTGGGGCCATATCCGTTATGAAGATTTTTACGTC